AACAGATTGTATAAGACTTAGTGTGGTTCCAGAGCAGAATACAAATGTTAGAAAAAAAGGCAGTATAAATGTAAAATAACAGCACACAGTGGGGAAAGGAAGGGCAGAGGGATTTGGGGGAAAATGTAAGGGCATAAGAATTTAAAATATTTAACAGTCTGATACCAGAATTGAGAAGAAAAGTAGAGGTGGTTAAAGACTTGCTAAACAAAAATTTTTTTTCAACTTAGGAAATCAATCAATACTTATTTGGAATGCTTAGTTAAGAGAAATTTACATATCATTTAGTGGTTTGAAGATAACAGAAGACAGGTTACACCCAGAATGTCCAAGATTTTGATGGAAAAGTATAGAAATTATATAGGCAATCATTATTATTTTATTTATTGACACATATGTATATTGTTTAATCAGTATAAATATTATAAAAACCCAAACAGCAACCTAGGGAGAATTCATGTTTTGGTTGGGAGTTTTACAAAGCACAAATGTGCATTATGAGCTTCTGTTTAATTTAGTGAGTGCCAGGCAGAATTGCTTCAAATCTATAGTCAGTTTGCTAGAGCTTATTTTGGTTTAATTTACTCTAAAAGTTAAAAAAGCAAACAGCCTTACAATTAAAAATATTAAATAGTTACATTTAACATAAGATTAAAAAATAAGAATGTTATACAAATAGAGTTGGAAACTTGGATAAAATCATTAGTTACAATGAAGAAATTCTTTGAAAATTACTTACCAAAAAAGCACAGGGTGAAAAAAAAGATTTTTCTGAAATAAATTTCAAAATGTTTTATAAGAATTAAATTCTAAACTCAGTAAATAATTCCAGACAAAATAATTTATGAGTGAAAATTGTTATAAATTATAACAAATCAATACATAAAAATCAATCATTAAAATATTTTGTAACATTGAATGGTGTTAATAGTATTCTGTTGAGTGATATTCATTGTTAATTTAAACAGGCTGAGTGTGTACTATGTTCTGATAATAGACAATGGAAAAAACAAATGTAGTCTCTATTCCAATGTTCCTTTATTGTTGTATGAGGGAAAAAATTAAATAAGCAAGTACAAGTTACTATGATACATCCTACCAAAAAAAATTATAACTTGCTGTATATATAGAAATAATGACTTATTTATATTTGGACTGAGAAATATAGAGGAAATAAATATGGCAAGATTTCTTATATTAAAAGATGTTCAGACTGACCAGGTTAATTCATCTTTATAATCCTCATGCCATTTTTATCAACACATTATTCCAATATTATAGGTTAGGAAACTAGTCATAGAGTGGTAAATAAATTGCTTAAGGGTCATACAAATTATAAGTGACTATAATTATTTTGTATTCTGACTCCAAAATTCATACTCTCAACTCTTGTATTAAGTTTATCATTGTGTATATAACACATGATAAAAGTGACATTTTAAATTAGGTTAAGAAAGTTTTAGTAAAACAATAAAATAATTGGAATGTTATTTAAAGAAAATTAAGGTATGGTCAGATTATTTTTCTCCATAGTATATGTTAAATGAACTAAAGACATGGATATAAAACTCACATTCTGAAAACAGAGAAAATCTATAAATAGTTTTAAATATACTTTCAGCAGGGGAAAGGTATTCATATATAAGACCTTACAAATGACAAAGATAAATCAGTAGACTTGATTATTACCACTTACTTAAGATAATCTTATGCCATTAAAACTACAAAGGCATTGAAAAAATGGAGAAAGTTATGACAAATCAACAGGAAAACAAATGAATGCCATAATAGAAAAATAGAAGGTAACATGATATATCTCACAGAAGGCTACATATACATATTCCATGAACATATGAAGTCACCACATAGATAAAAATTAAAACATTTTTCCACTTGAATTTGTAAAATACATATTTTCACAATAATTCCTAAGTGTGTGCATAGGGTAAAAATTTGATATTTTTATATAGTTGAATTGGTCAGTTTATAATGGCAAAATATTTCTGGAGAAAAATTATGCAATCAATATTTTGCTCTAAAAATTGTTAATTTGTCTTGTGAATAATGTGACCTTTTATCTCAGAATTTCTGCACTGAAAAGATACTCTAATGATTTAATATTTGATTGTCTATGTAGTTATTTTGTAAGGATATTTTCTTGACTATAGCAGGGAAATATTGGTAAATATATAAACATCTCATATTAGAAGATTGTTGTAATGGGTTAAAATATTAATAGTGTTACTTTACTCTTAAAATAAGTACTTCATTGAAGGGTACAGTTTGCTTCAGAAGAAGGTTCTCTACATTTCTCAGTGAAGGTCTGAATTAAGCGCACAGATGTGAGAACATTAAAAGGCCCAGGACAACACCCAAGATGTACTTTTGATTGGTGTCTAGAAATCCCATGACTTTTGGCATAATGTGATATTATATCACATATCACACAATTTGAACTCTGTCGCATGAAAAGTTAGTTGCCTATATGATGGATAAAGTAAAACCTCTCCTTATATCCCAACATTGCCATGACAAAGCAGATTCCATTGAGAAACACCCATATCATCATTGTTATCATGATCATAATCTTTATCATCTTTGTTGGGATGATTTGTGCTGTGCAAATTTGAATAATCTGTGATCTTCAGTTTCTAGAACCTTTTTTTATCTCATTCTTGATTACTGTTAGCCAAGAGATATTTGCATGAGATATGGAGAACAGAAATGAAGCAGCATTCATTACCCATTGAAAGTTGGCTTGAGTCAGATGTAGTGATGGACAAACACAGAAGTGAGTTTCTCTTACTTCTTAATATCCTCTGTTCCATGTCTAGCATTTCTTCCCAGTTGCTGACATTGTTGTCAGTAAGTTGCTCCAGTTCACCATTAAATGTTGTCTGTGGACCTGAACTGGTAAGACTTATACAGAGATGATAACTCCCCATACATCTCCATTAGAACTCCCCCTTGATAGTCTATTGTTACCAGATAAAATTGAGATTCTCATATAGCCAAACCCTTTGTTAAGCATCTGATAATAATTTTACTCCCCATTGATATTTAATATTTATTAGACTTTCACAATATATGACATTTATATGTCAATTTTGATTAATCTCAGATATTTTATACTCTGTTTCTGCTCTATTTTTCCTTAAAGAAAGTGTGAAGTGGGCCTTCCTGATGGCACAAGGGGTTAAGCACAGCATTATGAGGCTGTCCACAGCCTCTGCAGCACGACATCTGTCCCCAGCCCAGAGGGCCAGGGAGATACCCACATGGTACAGCAGACCTCGCCTATCTTGCCCACTGCTCCCCTCAGCAGTGTATTTCAGCCATTCTGCCTGTTCTGTTCCCCAGTCTGTCTCTGGTGAATCCTTTCATCCCCCACACCTCTGGCCTATACCCCAGTTCTTGTATGCATAAATAAATACATCTTAAAAAAAAGGAAGTGTGAAGTGATTTTTTTCAGGCACCAAGGCACCAATCATTTTAGAAAAACTTCCAAGAAGTTTTTGGAAGAATCATTGGGCAAGTTGGGAGTAGAATTTACCATTTCTGAAATTCCAAGCTGCTGTCTTGATTGTTGGACTAAGCAAAACTATGTATCTTTAGAAGAGAAAGAAAAACAGACCTCGATATTTCAAAGAAATCAGTCTCCATTTAGTTTCTAGATGCTGCATGGATACATTTATTTCTAGATCAAGCTGTCCAATTGTAACTTATTCCATAAGTTTTAATATTTATTTTTAATCCAAGAAGCTTACACATCCCTTTGTTGTTCATATGAAATCAGATTTTATATTTTTTATCAGACATATGTTCAAGTTCAGTTTCTGAGCATAAGCATGGCTTTCATGTAAGTGCCCCACAAGACTTGAACAATGGGTTTCATATGGAACTCAGAGACGATATTTAAAATAATCTCTTGGAATTTCTTGCTTTATCAGAAGGTCTTTGTTGAGATCGGATTTATATGAGAAAAGTTTGGAACAAAAATCAAAGAAAATGGAAAATATTTGAGGAAATGAAAGGAACTTGATTAATAAGAAGGATTTCAATGATAGGGCAATATCAACTATTATCTTTAATGAATCAAACCTAGAAACTGTCTCATGGAGGAAAATGTGATTTCAATGTAATTTCAAGCACTGATGTAAAATGACTAAGTGGGATAAAGACATTTCATTACATGAATTTTATTAAATACAGGGTTTCCAACAATGGGTTTTCACTTTCCCCTCCCTTCCTTATTTGGAAGATATTTGACAAGTATGAGTTATTTTCCCCTATAGTTCCAACTCCTGTGTTCCTCTTATAGAATATTTGTTTTGTAGAAAAATTAGTGTTCTGGTAGTATCCCATATAATGTCCAGATGCAACAGAGAAGAGGAAAGCTTTCCTAGACCGGGAGGACTAATATCAGGGAGCTGGTTTAAGTTCTATGAATTTTTATTTTCATAGCATTCAAAAGCACATTCCTAACCTTGTATTAGGTGCAATAATTTATAAAGCCTATCTTGTAATTCTTACAGGCTCTCTTACAAATTGCCCCAAATAGTCCAACAAGATAATTAATTACAACCATGTAGTATAGTGACTTAGAGCAGTGTTTCTTGAGCTCTCTGCTGAAAGACAAGTTGTTGTCCTTCCTGATACATATTTTGTAAGATGTAATATGTATTGTAAGATGTAATGATATTTTGTAAAATGTAATAAACACACATTACTATAAAAATGATCATGTACTTGTACTTGGATGTTAAGACTATGGTATAGCTATTAAAGTTTTCAAATACTTACGCTTAATTTCTCCGCGTTTTTGAAAACAAGTACTAGTTGATGACCCACACTTTGAGAAATATTGTTTTAGAGTGTAGTCTCTGGCATTGAATTGCTTGGGTTCAAATTCTATCTCTGCCATATGTAACTTGCTTTGTAATTTTGTTCACATTACTTAAATGTAAGATTTAAGTAATGTTACATTTTTTTTTTCACAGCATGCCATGAGGATTTAATGAGATACTGTCTATCAAGCACTGGGAAGAATGTCTAGCACACACTGCAGAGTCAATAAAGGTAAGTCATAACTACTTCATGCAACTTTACAATATATAATGCCTTTTCACATACCTCATTTCATCTATTCCCCACAAAATTTCTGTGGGAGTTGACTAAAGAAGTTATGATTATTCTCCACGGCACAGCTGAGAAAACCAAGAGTCAAGTGTTTAAATGACTAAAGTGTGTAAATGGTGTGTGGCAGGTATATGGCAAAGCAAGGAGTTAAATTTATGCTAGTTCTCTCTTTTTTCTACCCTCCCCTTCAAGGTACATCAAAAGTTACATGAAGTAGTTTTCTTCATACAGAACAGAGTCCTTCCTGCTGGTTTCCTAAGCCTCTTGCTTTGGCACAGTTTGACAAAAAACAGGACCATCTCAGCAAAAGTGGGGACTCCTGATTCCCTCATTTAGTAGACTTTGTCCATAGAAGAGGTTCTTGTTGGCCCTGCACTTACATTTCCTTTTCACAGCTACTGAAGAGCGAGATACATACAGTAATTTATGCTTTCAATGCAGAGTGCTGTATATCTGGTTAATGTAATGGCAGCTGTATTTTAGACATTGGAAACATCGATTGGAAAAGTAATTTCCAACCCTAAAAGGAAAGAAATGACCGTCTTCTTTCGGGTGTTGGTGAATCGTCTGGCTTACCCTTTCTTTTTAACATGTCCAGATGATATAAAGATCTCTTTGGTTGACGTTTGAATGTTCTAGTTCTTACAAGTCTAAATAACATTTTACTTTTTCCTATGGTTAAACATGCATGAGTTTTCAGAGTTCGTTGTGCAAGCATCTCGTATATTATGGTCAATATTTGATTCAGAGAGAAAGGAAGGAACCAAACTCATGATGATGTGTGACAAGAATAAAATTCTGTTAGTAAATTAAAAAGGGAGTCACAAAAAAGCCAATAATACAGATGCCTTTTCTCCAAGAATGCCTTCAGGGAAACTTACAATCAAAAATGAAAACTCTTCCATTATGCAGCAGCACAAAATGAGCTTAGTGTAACAAGCCATTGTCCACTACTCTAAATAAGGGAATGAGCTTTCCATTAGCTAATTTGTGAAATGATAAGTGAAATGAAATGATAAAATGAGCTTTAAAATTGTGTAGAATGAAGAAATGTGGGTGGAGGTAAAGCAAAGCACTCGGAATTATGCCTAACTGCTACACTGTGTATATCAAACCTCTACAGGAATGAGTCCTTTAGGATGAAACACTCTTTCTTCTGTCAAATGTGTCAAGTAAATGAAATAACTCAACCACACTTGTTTGGGAGCAGCCCTGTGCTCTCAAAATTCTGGGCTGAGGTCAGGAGTGCTATAGCAACCATGATGAAATGTGAAATTTCTCATGCCCTAGACTCTTGTTTACTGCACATAAAGGACTTTGCACTAGATAAATATAGAGAGTTCCAGGCACTGCAGTGTTAGTGGCCAAAAAGCAAATAACCTTTAGTTGGAAAGTAAAGCTGTCCCAGACCTAACAGACAGGGATTGAGAGCTGACTACAGTGAATGTGGTAGAAACTCTATTTTATTAAGGTGAGTAGAAATTACCATGGTGGATACAATATTGCCTGCAATCTACTTAAATATTCTCCTGGCTATTATACGTTCTCACCAGGTGATCTAAAATTTTGAAGTCAGAGTAAAAGTATAGATATATAAAGGCTATAGGAATTCTAGTTAGGAAGAAGATATCCATGATTAATTTGAGTTCCCTCAGAAGCAGACCCTGAGGCTAGGGTTTGAGAAGTTGTAGGTTATTTGGTAAGTAATCTCAGAAAGCATTGTTAGGAGAGTGTTGAAATGACACAGGAAAGGGAAGGCATACACACAAAAGAGTACATTTTCAAGCCAGTTGCTCCTGGGCAAACCTGAGAGTAATTCTAAGTAGGAATTCTCGGGATCTAATAGGACAGATACCTCAAAATTAATTGAGCCCAGGGCCAAGGAGCATGGGTATTTGTATACCAAAGCTATCATTGATTGGGTAGGGGTGGGAAGATTGTATTTTAACCTTTCATATCTGATGTGTCGGTGCCTTCTGGTAATTAGATGTCCAGTAGTGCCTTAAAATGGGGCAGCCTCAGAGAATGTTGTTGGGGCATCTGCTGCAATTCTTGAAGCTACATTTCCATTGGATTCTGTGGCAATCAGCACTGTAAGTTAAGAATTTGCACACAGTAATGCATACACATTTGACTTAAGGTTTATCTTCACTTGCTTTTAAACATAGAAATGTGATTGCATAAAGGCAGAAAACTGGGGCTTCCTGGTGGCGTAGGGGTTAAGTCTCAGTGCTATCATGCTATCACCACTGCAGTCTCAGTTCGATCCCTGGCCAGGGAGCAAACGCACATATTGTGCAGCAGACCTCTCCTGTCTAACCCACTGCTCTATTTCAATAGATCTACCTGTTCTGCTCCCCACTCTGTCTCTGGTGAATCCTCTCATCCCCTGCACATCTGGCCTATACCCCAATTCTTGTATGCATAGTAAATAAATATAAATCTTAAGAAAAGTGGCAGAAAACTGCATTAGACTGATGCACAAGTAAATAAAGTGAAATAACTGTTACAAATATTTTGGAGTTAGACAAGATTCAGATCCTAGCCTTACCAACCAAGTAAATTCAGTGAGTAATTTAATGTACTTTATTTTCTTTATCTGTGAAATGTATACATAATACACATTTTACAGAGTTGTGGTAGTATAATTCAAACTCCTTGTTCAATACATGGAATTTATTAGTTTATCAACAAAGATTAGTTATGATCACCCACATACTCACAAGTACTACCACCATCATTATAATCAATAACAGTAACACGTCATATTGCCATCATCATCATTATCATCATCATTATCATCTTCATTGTCATTTTTTCTTGTTCAAGACACCTGAAGTTTTCTCTGCAAAAAAATAAGATATACCTCTTTCTATATAATGGGAAGAAAGTCAAACAATATTTAGTCTTTTAAATATCTATGAAAATGATTCAACATTCTTTGAATGCATTGTGCCTTATTTTTTATTGCACTTAGCATTGGGTGTGCAGCTGCTTATACTAGAACACTCAGACAGGTACTAATTAACAGGCACTAACAGCTTCAAGGGAAAAGAGTCATGTAAATACTTATTTAGAAAATATTTAAAGTAGTCATTACAGAGATTCTCCAATTGCCACATATTTTATGGCAATCTATTTTCTAAAATGAATCAACAGGACTAAGTCATTCTTAAAATGCCACTTAGTAACGCCTCCATGCAACTGGCTGTGTCATTATGTGGCCCAAGATACAGATTTAACACAGTAATTCCTTTTCCTCTCTTCTGAAAATTATAGCATTAAAGAAAATACTAGTCACTTACATAAAGCAACTATACTAGCTAGGTATCACTGACTGAGTTTATATACATGAAGAATTTGAATAAATTACATTCTCAAAAGCACTATGACCAAAGTATACTGTTAACTGAGAAGTCTACTTTTAGTTTGCAATTTCAGTAATTCAGATGTAGAAACTCCAGGAATTATTCTCCTCAACATAAATATCCAGTGATCTTGATAATCATAACTAAATTCTTCCTTTATTGACCTCACCTAACACCATTTATTTAAACAGTACCAATATGCTAATAACTCTCAACTTTTTATCATTAGTTCTGACTTTTTTTCCCAAATGTTTCCCCTCAAACAATTGAAAAAATGAGTCTCCCTGATGGAAAGGAAGTCACTTTAGAAGCTGCCTATTTGTGGAAATATAGGAATTGAATGGGACCTCTCCTGTTAGATATGAGTGATTATTTACTCTGCACATCTCTAAGAGTAAGCCTGATTCTGATGCCAGTGAATTTTAGCAACTCCAATGCCCCATAGCTACTCCAATGATGATTGTCTTAGAATCAGCTTGTTCTCTGGGTGGATATTCTGGATAAACATTGTTTCAAAAATATTATGACTTTCTTGTGCTCTATCTGAAATTTCAGTTCATTAGATTTTAGAATTTTAATTCAGTCATTAGATCTTAGAATTAATATGAGCTCTTTTTTGATGCACAAATATGAAAAATCACTATATTTATCTCAGTTTAAAAATACACATTCATATTTTACATGAGTTTCACAATTCTGTCAGACTAGAGGGAGGTATGGAATAAATATTTGTGAACTGCTTAGTATATGCCAGATACTAGACATCAAAAATACAGATATAAATAACACTGTAATTCTCACATTGTCTTCACCCTACATGTGTGACTTAAGATTATTGATTTAGACTCCAGCAATTAGGAAGTTAAGGCTCAGAGAGTTAAGTGATTTGCCTAGTAGCATGCAGTTAAGAACAAGTGAAGTTAAAACTCAGTCTGGGTCTTCTAATTCAAAGTCCTGTGGATTTTGCATTATCACAATTATTGTCTCTGACACTTTGGATGTGTTTATGAAGTAATTTCCCTCCGTTTTTTTCTATTGCTTGGCATTTTGAAATAGCCTCAAAGAATAATTAATTGTCTCCTTTTGTATGCATGTGTGTGTGTGAAAAGTCTTTTTCTGTTTACATTCACTATATTTGCAGATTCATAGTCTAGACGACCACGGCTGCAAGTATTCACTGGTGGGTCATTATGATGATATTTGTTCTTTCTCACTAATGCCATAAATGTGTGTAAGGTTTGATAGCTCTAAGTGACAGAAAAATATTTTTATAGGTAGAGCAGACCCATGTCTTTGTAATTAAGCTTGCCTGAAATAAGACCAAATGCATCAACATATTTATGCCTCACATTGTGGAGCCTCTTATCCTGTTATTTTATTAACATAAAGGGTGCCTTTAATTATGCAGAACTACAAACTGCATTATTGATATTCTATAAACATTAACTACACCCATCCCTAATGGAGCAGAAACAAACTGTAGTCTCTTATTTTTTAGGATTCATAGGAAGAAAGAAGTCTATGGTATAAAATAAAAGTAGTTAGAACGTAATATATCCTTGTGTTGTTACT